GAGAGGTTGTCTTGTCACAAAGTTTGACAAGACAATCTCTTTTCAAAAACAAAGTTTGACAAGAAGTTGGCTTTTTCATGGGAAATTGGTTCTTCGTTCCCGGATTTTGTAGTGTGCATGAGTTAATTTGATGAGGGATAGAACCAGGAAAAGGTCTGCCCACTTCTCAGCGATGTAGATTCATCTGCTATCTCACCTATTTAAAACTAATTTCACATTCTTTGCTATTCTTTTATTTGTGAAAACTAGACGTAAATCTCATGAAATGGTAGGCATTTGACCTAGATTCCTCTTTTCTGTCATTGTTTTCGCCCATTTCAAGGATTTATCTTTATGTCTTTTAGGCTGACTAGAATTTCATGGTTTGATAAGACTTCCTAACTGAAGTCCCAACTACATCAGCAGTACAGATTTTAAGTGAATGTTTAGGATGAGCTAATAATGTGCAAATCTCCTTCATAATGCATAACAAGGCTTTCCGATCCGTGAAACTTCTTGTGGATAAAACCTCTTCAGGTGCATCCTCAACCGCATAAATCGCCATCACCAGAACCATCGCTGGCGAAGGTGAAAGAGGCGATGAAGGACGATGCCGGCACAGCAGCGTGCACGATCCTGTCGATTGAGCCGGAAGGGGCAACCCGCGACATTGAACAGGAGCTATTTCTGAGCGAACCACCTTTGTTTGGCGTGAGCTCACTCAACTCGGCTAAGATCATGGGTTAGTTGAAACAGTTCATGCTTGATTTTCATTTTCATCAGCAATCCAGACCAATCTGTTCATTGCTTGAAAAATTGAAATCTCAAATCGATTTTGCGAATTACAAGATGAGTTCGTTGTTGAGCACTCTCTAGCCGAAATTCATACGGGGAATTTTTACATCAGGAGTTTTTGGAGAGTTTCTGATATGACGTCCTCACTTTATTGCATGCCTTACACTCATTAGATTCAAGCTCAAATTGAAAAGTCACTTATTATAGCGTTATCTGTCTCAGGGGTGGTGTATCGTTGACAGTTCCTGTTTGAGTTATGTTGATATTGAGGTCTTGTGTTCGACACTTTGATACACTGAAGTTTTAGTGTCCCACTCCAAAATCTTTCATAATGCCTCCTTCCATGCTTGAGATCTTTTCTTTTTTGGTTTTTTTTTTCGGAAGTTCCCAAGCTCCTTCAATCGGAAAGATTCTGATTTAAGAAAACGACGTTTTTTTAAATTTTTTCACTCATTCAAAAGAGCAAGTGCATTTTGAGCAAGAAAAAGTTATTGCAAGACAAATTGTTCCATAGCACATGGTCGGCCAAGCCTTGCATCATCACATCATACAATATCTCTCTTGCTCTGAATCTGATTTTACATAGCTATCAGCCGACTGGCTATCATTGAAACACTTATGAACTGGGCAGCACTTGCTAATTCTAATGGATTGAATGAAGTCATGCCATCGATAGGAGAATTGTTCTTGGTCATTTATCTTAAAAGCTTGTTTGTATGTTGTTTGCTACCTTATCTCTGTTTGCTTACTTGTTGGGTTTCAGTACTCCCGCAAATCAAGATGAACCTTTCCTTGTTTCTAGTGCTTGCGGTTTTTAAAATTGATTGTCTACTTCTTAGCTAATCTTTTTGATTCTGCAGAAGTTCCTGCCTTAACGGCACCGAGAGCACCACCACGACCGTCACGCGACCGGACATCAAGCGTTAACTATCTAAAGGGCCAAGTGGCACGCTCTCAACCAGTTCCGTAAGTACAAGTGTCATTTTAAGAAGTTTAATTCCTTTAATGCAGAGTTTGTCATGTACTTTGCATGTATTCTGCAAATGGGAATTTCTTTAGGACATCGACATTTTCGTCCACGGTGGTGGAGTTCGTTCATGATGTTACTTTACAACATCAATCTCAAGCGCAAATGGTCGAAAAAGTGGAATGGGTGGAGTTGCATAGCATTGAGAAAGGTTTGAAATAAACACTTGGGTCTAGATTGAACAACAGGGAGGCTGGAGATGTGTTATATGTTTATACCATGTTTTCGGGTGAGGCTTATCTTTTCGCAGAAAGAGGTTTTAGGAATAAAATGTCACTTCTATATCATATACTCGAATTGAAATAAATGAAGATAAAATTCATCGGGTTTACCAGGCTTTGCAATAAGAGCACTGTAAGATGTAAAATGCTTACCTAAG